ATGAATGACCATTCATTTGACCATATTACCTATTGCCATTGCTGTGGGGACCAGCCTTTGTGATCTCTGCACCATTGGTGTCGCTTGAAAGCATTAGTTGCTGTCCCCAAGGGTTTACGAATTGCCACTCTGCGATAAATGTGCGCAGCTTGAAGTTCCCTTTTGACAGTTTTTGTTGAAATGGGCTCCTGGAGATGACTGTTCATTTCGGATGTTGTCTCGGATAACGATTGCTTGTGCTTTTGGGCTACTATGTGCTTCAAGATCAGTCTATCCCTATCAGCCAGCATTGTCTTTCGGCCACTGTTGTGGTTTGAAGATGTTGCATTACCCCCTTTTAAGTACGTTATCATAACAGCCGATACCATACTCCCTGCACACCCCACAAGGTTTGCTGTTCCCGCAACCGATGCTCCACTTAAATGTGCTCCAACTATCATTTCTGTTTGAAACTCTAATATTTCAACTTCTCACAGACAGTTCGATCGAAGCTTGCAACGCAGGCAACTGCTGTTGGCAGACCTTCCTCTTCACGCTCACTAGGTGGCAAACTTCTGTTGCAGGTGTGAAATACGTCACACTTTTTCACAGGTGTTGGCATTATTTTGCCCTATGTGTGTAAATAAAAATGATTCCATTAATTAGTTTTATTAAGTTATTAAATTTATAATTCAATTAAATTTAAATTCTTTCCAATTTTACAAAGCAGAAGTGGCACTTCAAAGGGTCATTTTTATGAGTTGCTTTATCAAATGGAAAATTCAACAGCTTCCATATTTGAAAATGTGATAACATCGTTGGAAAAAGAAATGATTAAAACAACAACCAGTTATGGTGGTGCCATCTAAAAGAAATAAGTAACTAATTAAAAGTGGCAGATAACATACATCAGTAGTAAATTTTTTATATATGAAATATTTTTTATATAAATGAGTGTGATGTACAGCACTGTATTACAAAAACGCATTTATAGCACATCGTTCAATAAGCCCTGAGACTAACCGACAGATGGCGTTAGTAATATCAACTCGATTTCGTTGTTCGAAATAACCAACTTCAAATGGCACATGTCTGATTTTCATGGCAATCGGACCAGAAACAGCGAAGCTACTGTGGTGAAAGTGACGCTACTTGTGCATTTGTAGACAAAGTGGACAAAAATTAATTTTGCATGTTGATCAAACATTGCAATTTAATGGGCAGAAATACCATGCAAGCTCAGCAATGGCTTGAAAAATGTTTTGCCGGTGGTTATGCTGATTTCAAGTGCAGTCGCATGAATATAAATGATGTGGCATGCTTGGGTAGGCCAAATGAAGCAGGCACTCAGAAATGTGAAACAAGTGTTGAAAATGCTGACGAATGACCATAGAGTGAAAGTTCGTAAGATTGCTGAGATGGTAAACATATGAACTGTAAGTGCATATGCAATTTTATGTGAAAAGTTGGGCATGAAAAAAGTGTTTTCCAAATGGGTGCCATGTGTGCTCACAATGGAATAAAAGCAACAACTAGTCAACTATTAACAGAGCTGTATGTCACTGTTTACTTGCAATAAGCAGGATTGCTTGCATCAGTATGCGACAATACACGAAACATGGATCCACCATTTCACTCTGGAGTTGAAGCGGCAGTCAGCTGAGTGGCGTGCAGTCGGTGAAAGCCATCCAAAAATGCAACAGTCAGCTGGCAAAGTCATGGCATCAGTGTTTTGGGATGCACGAGGTATAATTTACATCGACTACTTTGAAAAGGGAATCTATTAATAGCGCCTATTACAGTCAGTTATTGGTGCATTTGAAGGATGAAATCACAAAAAAACGACTACACATGAAGAAAAATTCATCTTCTATTAAGACAATGCCCCGTGCCACAAGTCAATGCAAACACTGATTACATTGAACGAGTTGGGCTCCACTTTGCTTCCCTACCCACCATACTCTCCAGATCTAGCCCCCAGCGACTACTGGCCGTCTGTTGATCTAAAAAAGATTTGGCTTCAATGAGGAAGTCATCGCTGCCACTGAAGCTTATTTCGCGGACAAGGACAAATAGTTTCACAAGCATAGTATCGAAAAGTTAGAATGATTGTATAGCTCTTGACAGCAATTATGTTGATGAATAAACATGAATTTTGTGAAACGAATGTTGTTTTCTTAGTTAGTCCTGGGACTTATTAAACAATGTGTTATATACACTCATGTCCATAAATTAAGGATAATTCCGAGTCACGCGGAAATCGAACTCTAAAATAAATATATCACCTGTAAAATCACTACAAACATCTTCAGTAATCATATGATAAGTAGGAAGTAGATGACACCGATGGTACGTCACAATGATGAGAGTGTAATGAGAGTGATATATAAGGAATACAGACAACTAATGGAAATTTATAAGCCGATAATATTATGACACAAAGGATGCATTGGATGATTTCTAGGGGTTATCGCGTCTGGAATGTGAGCGTACCCAACTGGAAGTATCAGACGAATTGGAATTGCCAGAGTGTCATCTCCGGCTTTGGCAAAATTCCAAGATGATGGTAATGTGAGTAGATGTTACAGCACAGGTCGCCCCAGAGTTACAGCGCCGAATGAAGGACCGGTATTTGGCAGTTACTGCCAAAACAAACAGGTGGAGCACAGCCTGAGACCTGCCTCGTCAGCTCTCTTCAGCCACTGGTACGACAATTTCAAGGCAGACCGTGTACAGACGCTTAGGGCAGATTGGTCTATATGTTCGTAGACCTGTCAGATGCGTTCCACTTACTGCAACTCACTGTCGCCTGCGGTTTAGCCTGGAGTAGAGAGCATGCACTGTGGACACCGCAACAGTGGGCTTGTGTGATGTTTTCCGACGAGTCCAGGTTTAGCTTGCAGTCTGATTCTCGCCGGACTTTCATATGGAGAGCTCCAGGTATTCGTTACCACCAAGAAAAGCATCATTGAACGACACCGTTACGGTGGTGTAGGAGTGCTCGTTTGGGGTGGAAATATTCTGGGTTCCAGAACTGACCTTCATGTTCAAATTGGAATCATGACAAGCCAATATCTATCGGGACGTCATTCTGGAACAACATGTATGTTTGTTTCGGGGTGCCATGGGCGCACAATTGTTTATGGATGACAACGCCCGTCCTCACCGTGAAAATATCGTAAGCGAATGCCTTCAATCGGAGGATATCACCCGTACAGACTGGCCAGCATTCTCACCAGACTTGAATACAGTAGAAACATGTGTGGGATATGCTTGGCCGACGAGTTGCAGCCCGTCAACCTCCTACTATGTCTACCGGAACTTCGGAGGAACTTTGCTTTGAGTGATGTAATATCCCCCAAGATCAGATCGATAATTTGATACTCAGCATGCCTAGGCGTTTGTACGGACTGTATTGCGTCGTCTGGGTGGCTGGTGATGACATGACAATGTATTAACAATCATACCAACCATGTTTGTAATATTGGTTTTTTTTGTAAGATAGGTTGTTTTTTTTTTTTTGTAATTTGCTCCAGGGAGAAAAAAAAATCGCTAATTTTTTTAATAATATATCAAACATATAGCATCTTTTTTTGCTCTTTACCTTTTGTTTAATAAATAAGCTTTACAAATAAGTCAAATTTGTTTTGCATCTAACTCTTCCTTTGCCTGATTTTGCATTATCCTTAATTTATGGACATGAGTGTATATATATTAGGAGAACAAATATTTCTCCACTGTTTGACAAAAATTGGCACCACCAGTAAATTATGGTTAAAATTGTCTGATGTAAAATGTCATATCATAAGGTTGGACATCTGCCAAAAACAAAACCTTGAAATATTAGTGATTCTGTATCAGCGTCATATATTTTTTCATGCGAAAATGCCAAGTTTAGAGCTCAATGAGCATAATTTGTGGGAACTTTTCATTTATTTCTTTAATTTGAAGAAATCTGCAGTTGAGGCACATCAACTGCAGTTGCTTGTATATGCATATAGTGAGGCTGCCTTAAGTAAGAGAAGTTCTTGTAAGTGGTTTAAAAAGTTTAAGAATAGTGAGTTTGACGTCGGAAAAAAACAAGGTAGCTGAAGGTTGTACAAAGAATTGAAAACATTATTGGATGAAGGTTCATGCCAACACAAGTAAAACTTGCACTTGCATTAAGAGTGAATCAATAAGCAATTTCATGTTTTTTAAAATCATTGGGAATGATTCAAAAGCAAGGAAATTGGGTTCTATAAGAACTGATGCCAAGAAACATTCAATTTCGATTTTTTACATGTGAAATGCTGCTTGCCAGGCATAAATGAAAGGGGTTTTTGCAACCTATATTCACTCATGATAAAAAATGGATCAACTATGATAACCTAAAGAAGAAATTGTGGGTACCACTGGCCATGCTTTAGCATTGACAGCCAAGGCTCATGGGGAAAAAAATCATGTTGTGTATATGGTGGAATAAATTTGGTGTCATGTATTATGAGTTACTCAAATAGAACGAAATCATTACTGGGGTTCTCTACCAAACACAACTGACGAGACTGAGCTGTGCACGCAAAGAAAAATGCGCCTACTACTACTCTACACATGACAAAATTCCTCATGATAATACTCATCTACACATTGCAGCACCAGTTAAAACCTAATCGGAAATACTTAAATGAGAAGTTTTCCTCCTCCCACTTTATTCACTAGACATTTCTCTTCCTGATTACTATTTGTTTTGATTGATGATACTCATGCATGGCAGTGCTTCACATCATATGAAGATATCAAAAATTGGTTTAATTTGTGGATACCCTCAAAAGCTAAAATGTTTTTCCTGCACAGTATCTGTATGCTACCAGAAAGATCGGAAAAAGGAGTGGCTAGTGATGGACAAAACTTTGAATAAAACATAACGTACCTTTCTTTCACAATAAATGCCCAATTTTTTATATATATTAAAAAAAAAAAACTTACTTGTACTCCCGATATATATTCTACTTTCTAATAAGAAAACAATAATAATGACTTACATGTTTAGTAGGTTGAAGGTTGCAGATCACAAGTTTTCCTCCAGATTTTTTGGTTAATAATGGTAGATTACCACTGGGAATTATCTGAAGAGTGGTTCCCAAACATAAGCTAAGATCAGCTTTTCTAAATTAAAGATAAAAAATGGAAAGCTGTTTGTGAAAAAAAGGTTAGTAGCAAGAACTGAAATGAAAAGTTTATAAATTAGATATTTACCGAGAATGGATTTCAGCAAGATTTAAATCACGAACCGGCAATTCATCTTCCCAATCTAAAATAGTATCATACAACTTTCCTCTGCACCGCCTGCCATTAGCTTTAGGAAGGGGACAATAATGTCCTGTATGCTTCTGTCCAACAGTTGAAGTTGCATCTTTCCTAATAAACAACCTGCAATTTTAAATATAAACTTGAAAAGAAAATAAATAAATAAATAAAAAATTTGAAAATTTCAGATTTATGTTACAAACAAAGGAGTAATTTTTTTTTCCTTTTACAACATACCTTTTTTTGAAAGCATTTGGCCTAAAAAATTTTAAAAACAGCATATCTTAAGAATTTCCAATAAATAGTCTTATGTGCTAGAGATAAAATTTTATTCCCCATACAGTGGTGCCTGCTCGCTTTGAAATCATTGAGTTTTTAATCGTTTCACAAAATTTACAAAATTGAAACAGATAATAAAACAAATTCCAAATTCATGATTTGGGCTTCCAGATGCCCATATTCAGGGGTGGAAACTTCTGTTATTCAAAATTTGATGGCTCTAGGTATCGTTGTTTTATCATAGTGCAAGAAACATATATACATTTATGCAAATTTTTCATTATTTAATCTCTTTAAATATAATACAGGGCAATAATATTTGGTGGCAACAATCTGAAAAGTGATACAGCCATTTATAGTGATTTGACATAAAATGCCGCTTCGGGAGTAATACCCCTTTGGGGTTAATGCCCATTTGGGTTAATTACTTATTTTACTTTTTGTACTGAGAATTATCACACTCTTTCCCCAAATTACTTAGGATAAATCTAAAAATGTTCTTTCTTTAAAATTGAAGCAGAATATGATGTTTAGTTGAATAGTATGCACTTTGAAAAAAAGATTCAAATAAATTTTTCTTTACCCATACTGCATAACTGCACAATTCATATACTTGTCTTAGTTCATGTGAGTAAGCAATAATGTGCAGTATCAATTTTTCAGTCAGTTGCTTCAATCAGTTTTGATGAAACTGTTAGAACTTCTCCAGGTCACTAATGAGAAATATTTAGGTTTCTTCAGAATAATAATAATAAAATTCCTAATAAGTATTATAAAAATTGCGAGACTTATATTCCTGTTAATAATTTATTTCTCGACAGTATTATCTACTTGTTCTAAAGAAATATTAATGGAGTTAAATTATTAAATCTGAAGAGTTGTTTCTATTTTAATATGTTTAGCTCTTGACAGCATATACCAAAAATGGAAATATGACACTGCAACTAAATTGTTCACATGCAGGTATCAAATTCAGAATAACCATAAACACAATTATTAAATATAAATAAGTACAAATTTTACCATATTTATAGCAACTGAAACATTTTGCAATTTGTTTCAATTTTGTTGATCTTGACTGATTGATTCAGAATTTATCTACACTGAAATGCTGACATTTGTCTTTGTTGCTCCATGTACTTTTCATCTGTTCAAAGAAAATGATGATTTACTTTACATAATTGACTACACATATGATACCCCATACTATTCTTATTTAATTGACAGTAAGCATCAAATTAATTAATACGGTAGTTACAGTTTTAGCACCTAAAAAGAGGAATAACAAAGTCTTTGAACTGCGGTAACTTTTAGAAAAAATATTTTAAAAGTACAAAATATGAAGAAATATACTACTATCCAAACTAGTTATGGATAATTCAACAACAAACTATCGAAACTAGTTTAAAGAAAAATAATGATATATGCTATCAGATCATGAAAATTTCATTGCAATAAATAAAACCAATGCATGGAGCGAACTATTCAAAACTTAATTATGGAATATTACATTACCTTCATTATTAAAATTTATCATACTCAAGAATTAAATTTAAAAATAACAAACAATATGCATCTGCAAATATAAATCTAAGTTTATTAGCTTAATTTCAGAGAGAACATATGTTAAACATTAAGTGTAGGGCTTCACTAATCATTAAGAAATCAAAGTGCAGTTAGTTTGTAATATATCACTATTCTCTATTATTAAGAAATGAAGAAACTATATATGATTTCATCACACATGAAAAACATGGCACCTAAAGCCACCAAATGTTCAATACACATAGTCCTGCATCCGAACATGTGCACCTCAAAACCAAAATATTGAATTTCAATTTTTTTTTAAATTAATTTTTGTCTTGAGTAAATTTAATGATTTTTGGTTAACAAACTCAGTAATTTAAAACCAGTATGTTGGTGCCGACAAAAAACAAAAAAAAAAAAAAAAAAAAAAAAAAAAAAAAACACTTGTATTTTCTATGCACTAGTATGTTGCCATTTAACACAGTGTAAGAAGATATTTACATTTTAATCTGTTACTAATAACGAACAGATTTATATAAAAATGACATGGTTAATAATATTTTTAATAACATATCTGATTGATTTAAATAAAAATGGGTACTTTATTTGATCCCTATCAAAAAGTCAAATAGTATTAATAAGGCAATACACAGTGTTGCCAAAAGGTACAATGCACAATATTATCAAAAACATATTTATGTGACAACCCAAATATATGCACAGTACACATGTATTTGAGTACATGCAGTTTTACATTTTTTGAATACACCAGTCATTTATCTGAATAATATTTCATTTTCCACAAATGTATTTGTTTTTGTCATAAGGAATTATCATGGAACTGTATAGTCTGCCTCTTCATTTTCATTATATTGGAGTATCTCAATTCTCTGACACGTGCACACACACACACGCGCACACACACACACACACCACACACACACACATATATATGTAATAAAAACAAACTTAGAAGTAATGACTAGCAGAAATTTTGATGGAGTAGAAGTGTTGATCCATAATGAATAAGAAATTGGAGGCAAAGGCAGATTAAATCTTCATTTTTTATTTCAGCAACATGTTGCGGCCATAAACAAGTCAGCACATTTATTGTGCATATTCCAAAAAACCTTACATTTTAGATAAATTTACAGTAAGCTAGAAGGAGCAAACAGACAACAGTCCAGCTAGGCCAAAGCGTAGAAAGCAAATTCACTATGTGCAGGGTGAAATCTTAAAACACCTTGACACCAAAATCTTAAAACAGAAAGAAAAAAAAAAGAGAGGTACATGATGCTTTTAAGTCAGCCACATTATGCTATGTGTGCAGAAAACTAACTGCAGTATGAGGTCCAATCAATGCTAAAATGCACTAATTTCATAGGAGAAATATAATGTACAGTCACATGTAGAAAGGGAAAGCTGTCTGGAGGGGGCATGTTTATGCTACCCGCAGTAATAAGATTTTGGGGCAACATGAAGATGCCACATAAAATTTTTAGTCAGACTGGTTAGTTTTGGTTCTCAATACATTTTGATTGGATAGTTAATATTACTGTATAATTACTACCTGGCTGCTTTAGTTCCATTTACATCACCAGAATTATGTAAGAGTCATATGACATGGTTTAATGTAGAAATGACGCAGTGCAGAGAGAGGTTACTATTTTTAGAATTGAGAGGGGAAATTTAGGTTGCTAATTTAATCCTTTACATATTCTTTATTTTTCTTATATATAGTATATATATATATATGTACGTATGTCTATTTTTAGGATAAGTTCTCAAAACAGAATGTTTTATTATTTTAATGAATGTAAAAATAAATAAATAAATACATTGCACAAGATAAATCATTGAAATTGACATAAAGCTATCCAAACAAACATTTCTTTCTAAAGTCCACTGTGAGTTTGCAACTTTTCAGTGGGGATGCAGATAATCATAAAAGACGCATTAATTTATGATACATATAATTAATAATTTTGATAAACATTTGATTTTTTTGTAATTGATTAAATATTTTTGATTAATTGATTAAATATTCTGTATTAGTTTTGGGTAGTAAAATCAGTCAAAAAAAAGGGTGGGGGATATGCGAGTAAACACAGTATTTACAAAGAAATTAAACTCAATCTAATTTTTTGCTTACTTATTTATCAATTAATCTTTTCTACTGAGTAAATTTTTTTAAGTGTTCATTTTTATCATTATCATTTTCTCCCTTCCTTGCTAGACTGAAGGTTGGTTACACATGAGGTTAATATAATAAATAACTGACGTTTTGTAGGAAGGGAAAAATCTAATAATTTAATAATACTTATATTGTTTGTAAATAAGAAATACAAATTATACATTTAAAAAAAAATACTTTTTTATGGCTGGGCCAGTTATTTAATAGCCACTAGCCTTGTGCAACTACAAGAGTGGGAAGTAGTGCCCTTTCATTATGGAAGCACCTAATAATGTGGCCACCATTGCCTCCTATGAATGGATAGACAGTGACAACCATGCCTTCTCGAGGATTCGGACTCAGGCCCATCACTACAGCAGTCAGTGTCACTAACCATTATACTGGCTAAGAGGCAAACAATTAAATATGCCAGACTTTAAAAAATATAAAAACTCTGCAAGGCTTATACAGTTTTAGCTAAAAGTAAAATGTATTCAGATAAATAAATAAAATGTGCATACATATATTCGAAAAAAAAATTTATATGTTAAAATAGTATGTTGCTTACTTTTTTTAAAATTTACCCATCTAGTTATTTTTTCAATTTTACACTAATTAGGGAATTATAATAAAGTATTTCTGAACTATTTGCGTATACCTTACACACATAAAAAATTGCATAATAAAAACGCATTGTGGGTCATTTAACAAAACAGCAGATCTATGAATCATATCTACCTTTTCCAAACAGTTGCATATTATTGCTGTGTTATTCATTTTGGCATATTAAAAAAGACATAAAATTAATAGAATTTAATGCCATAAAAAGAGAGAAAATCAGTTCTACCATTAGAAACAAATGTAATTTTTTACTACGTAGCCAAGTCGGAAGACATTGATTGACCCATGATGTGCATACATGTGAGCAATGCTATAGAAACAAAAATATATGCACATTAACAATCCAGAAGTGCAATCATAATAACTGAATGAAAAGAGTATCCAAAACAGGACAGGTATCAGGATTTCACAGTTGTTAATCAGATTTCATCTTAAACAGGATGTATCATGATCTACAATACCTGTATGTGAAAATAACACAGAAACATCAAAAATCAGCCTTCAACTGAATAGTTTTTGACAA